AAAAATAAAGTCTATGTAGGGAATTCCCTGGCAGCCCACTGTTTAGGACTGTGCTTCCACCGCAGGGGCCTGGATTCAGTCCCTGGTTGGGGAACTAGGATCACACAAGCCATGTGGCAGAGCCAAAAAAAAAAAAAAAAAGTGTCTATGTAATAACACATAGATACTTTTTTTTTTGTGGTAAGCGGGCCTCTCACTGTTGTGGCCTCTCCCGTTACGAAGCACAGCCTCTGGACGCGCAGGCTCAACGGCCATGGCTCACGGGCCTAGCCGCTCCGCGGCATGTGGGATCTTCCCGGACCGGGGCATGAACCCGTGTCCCCTGCATCGGCAGGCGGACTCTCAACCACTGTGCCACCAGGGTAGCCCACAGATACTTTTTTAAAAAATTAGATTAAATCAATTTTAATCTTCATTGAACTTTTTGGCATCTTGGCATTCACATATTAAACAAAATACCCTTTAAGGAATATATTTACTTTTTAGTTAATTCAGTTAGGCCTGGAGTCTTTCAAGGTTATCCTTTCACAAGGTCATCTCCTTCCTCAGTTAAAAGTGAGTCATTTGGTTTTACGGATGTACCGTTGGAGAGACCAAAATAAGCAAATAGCTGATGGTGCTGAGAAATTACCGTTCTTGCAGTAGACTGTCAAATTTTCCACATATAACCATTAAAATTTTATAATGAAATTGTAAATTGTAATGTTTTAAAGTTTTTTTTAATATAACTTCAGTATTCCAGAACTTTATTTGTTCTATAATGATGATTTGGGTCTCTACCACATATGATTTTAATATTCAACTATTCAGCATCTGGCTAAAATGTGAGTCCAATGCATCTTCAGGAGAGAGAAAGAAAGAAAGGAAACATAAAAATACAAGAAGAAAACAGAGGCTAATTGTTTTATAAACCTGGGACTGCAGATAAATTTGCCTACACAGAAATCCAAATAACTTTCAATAGTAACATATGCAATAGACAAAGATGGAAGACAAATGACAAACTCCTAACATTTTCAATTCGTATCATAAACAAATATATAAACATCTCCTAGAAACTGATGAGAAGAAACAACCAGCAATCCAATTTGAAAACAGGCAAGAAGATAAAGAGTTCACAGAAAAAGAAATAAAACAGTTATTAAATATATGAAAAGGAACTCAAGATCACTCATACTTCAGAAATGTACCTATTTGTCACCTATTAAATTGGCAGAAATCCAAAGTTTGAAAAACATTGTTTAGTGAAGCTATTTGGAAAATGGAGACTTACTCACATAAGTGCTGAGAATGGAAATTGGTACAAGTGTAGAGAACAATTGGGCAAAAACTATCAAAACACATATGCATATGTCCTTTGACCCAAGAATTCCACTTCTGGGAATTTATTCCACAGATATACATCTATGCAAGCAATGCATATCATTCACTACAGCAACACTTATCACTGCAAAAGAAAGGAAATACAGCAAATATCCAGCGGATGGATAAATAATTATGTATCATACAATACCAACCATACAATAAAATATTATGCACTTGGAAAAAAACAACAAAGAATCCTCTGTGTCCTACTACAGAGTGACCTCCAAAATCTATTATGTGACAAAGCAAGATGTACAATAGTACATACATTCTGTATACAGAATGCTCTTTTGTGGGAAAAAGAACGGGGTGGGGGGAATAATATAAATTTCTATTTGAATTTGAATTTTAAAACTCTACCCATTTGTATATTATTTTTGAATCATGTGAATGTACTATCTCTTTGTGATAGACTGCATTATTGGTCCCAATTCTTCATCGTCCCTGTAGCCACACCCTTGCTTTGGCCTCATTGTGGGTGGAATGTACTTTCCCACCCCTTGACAGGGCTTGGCCGTGTGACTTGCTTTCATCAATGATACATGGGTAGAAATGATCGTAAGCCAGTGGCTTGCCAAAAATCAGAAAATACTACAAAGCCACAGGAACCAAGTCATTATGGTGTTGGTAGTAATTCATAAATTGCACGTTAGACAAAAAAGAAAGAAGAATCCTGAATTAGATTCCAGAATATACAGTCAGTCCTCCATATCTGTAGGTTGCATATCCTTGGACTCAACCAACTACAAATCAAAATTATTCAGGAAAAAAAAAATCCAGAAAGTTCCAAAAAGCAAAACTTGAATTTGCCACTCACTGGCAACTATTTATACAGATTTTAGATTGTATTAGGTATTATAATTAGACATAATTTAAAGTATATGGGAAGATGCACATAGGTTATATGCAAATGCTACACCATTTCATATAAGGGATTTGAGCATCCACAAATTTTGGTATCCTCAAGGGTCCTGAAACCAATCCCCCATGGATACCAAGGAACAACTGTATGGCAGGTTAACATATGACAGAGATGCATTCAATTCAGTGGAAAAAAGATGGAGTGTTTAACACATAGTACTGGCACAAGTGGCTATCTACCTAATGAAAATAAAATGGGACACATATACTAGGTAGAAAAATAAATTCAGGTAGATTAAAAGCATAAGTTAAAACAATTAATAAAAAAATCTTGCAAAAAAATTAAGAGAATACACGCATAATCAAACGATCAAGGAAATGTCCCTAGTGAAGTCTGGAAACCTAGAAGCTATAAAAGACATAATTGATGACCCCAAAATGAAAAATATCTGTATGAAAAATGATACCACAAAGTCAACAGACAAAAGATTATTTGTAAAAAATATTTTTCAATGCAGGACAAAAGATGAGCAGCAAAAATACACAAAGAACTCTTACAAACTGATTTAAAAAAAAAGGAGGTCCCATTTCTGTTAATAATAAGGTAGCTTGTATCAGACCAAACATCCTATAGATTACAACTACAAACTCTGGGTGAAACGAGAAAAACAATGATCTGAAGGCACTGGCAAAAACTGGAAGGGAGACAACACTTGGAAGAGAGACAACACTTGGAAGAAGGAACAGCAGTGGCTGAATTCTGCATCTTATAAGCTTTGGGTCTATAGCTCCAGTGATAAAAATCCACCACCTTGGCGGAATCCCAAATTCTGCATATAAACTCTTCCCACACCTCTGGCTGACCCCTGAACCATGCATGTACATGGCAGACTTGAAGCAGCCAAGTTAAAAGCGTCAAACAGATTTCACCTACTACCCATCAAAGGGAGACAGAGTTTGGAGTGTGAGTTCAGCCTACTTAACAAACAAATTAGAAACATAACAGAATCCACAGTTTCTGCAACACATCATTCATAATGTCCAGAATATAATCCAAAATTACTAGACATGTGACAAGCAAGAAAATGTGACCCAAACTCAGTAGAAAAGGCAATCACTGGAACATCTAACATCTGAGATAACCCAGATGTTAGAATTAGCAGAAAAGGATCTTAAAGAAAGTTGTTATAACTATCTCAAGGATGCAAACAAAGAAGTATCAGTAGAAGACTAGGAAATTCTAGATCTTAAATATCTAAAATAAAACATTATTGGAACTGGCTTAATAGCAGATTGGAGGAGGGAAGAAGGAGTCAGTGAACTTGAAACCAGATCAATAGAAATGATCTAATTTGAGAAATCAAGACAAAATTAGGAAAAGATATGAACAGAGCCTAAGAAACCTGTGCGACAATATCAAAAGGACATGGGACACAACATGTGTGTAGTTGGTGTCCCAGAAGAGGAGAGAAAGAAGAGGGCAGCAAGAATCTTTGAGGAAATAATGACCAAAGTTAAATTTGGCGAAAGACAAATTTACAGACCAAGTGCCCAGCAAACCCCTAACAGGATAAATACATACAAAATCTAGGCACATCACAAACTGCTAAAAACCAAAAATAAAGAGAAATTCTGAGAGCAGCCAGAGAAAAACACCATATTATATACAGGGGAGTGACTATTCAAATGACCACTAACTTCGGAACTCCAGCAAGGAGACCAGAAGACAGCAGAACATCTTTAACGTGCTGAAAGAAAAAAAACACCTGTCAACCTGGAATTCCACATCCAGTGGAAATATCCTTTAAGAATGAAGGCAAAAGGAAGACATTTTCAGATAAACTAAAGCGAGAAGAATTCACCATCAGCAAACCTGCACCACAAGAAACCCTAAGGGAAGTTCTTCAAGCTGAAGGGAAATGATAACCAGAGGGAAACTTCAAGAAGGAATGAACCAGAAACTGTAAATCTGTGGGTAAATATGAAAGGCTATCTTTTTACTATCTTACCTTCTCGCATTACGGCTATCGCATAAAGTTCAAGGATGGCAAGTGAAACTCTAAGGTTGCAAGGCCTCTGCATTTGGTACATTATTAATGAAGTAGACTGAAAAGTTGAGCGTGTGTATTGGGGTCCCTAAAGCAACCGCAAAAAAGAATGCAAGGAGCTGTGAGTGCAGTGCCAAGGGCCTGTGTCTCAACAGGAGTGTGGGGCATGTGCACAATTGTCCACACTGATGAAACTGTATACTTCTTAAGATCTGTGCATATCGCTGTAATTTATATCTAAATCTTTAAAAAAAAAAGTTTTCTTAAAAAAAAAAGTGCCTGGCTCAGAGTAGTTATTCAATAACTTATTTATTATTGTTAGTATTCTGCTAAACTTCAGAACATCAGTTTAAGAAATACTGTCCTATCTTAGGGCCTATTTACTAAGCACATGCTTGTCCTTCTGCCTGGAATGTTCTCACCCCACACTCTTCCCCTAGGAAGAGTGAAAATGCCTAGGCATCCCTCGGTCTTAGCCTAAATGGCATTTCCTTTGGGAAGGCTTGCCTAATATTCTCCCAGCAATGGACAAATTAATATAATCAATCACATGCTCCCACAGCACCCTGGACTTGCAGCACTTGCTGCCTGTTGCCCATTTCCTGTGAGGCTGTAGGACCCACAAGGGCACTGGCTTTGCTCAGTGCTGAATTCTCTACCCTCAGCACAGTGCCTGGTACCCAGAGACAAAAGGCTCCCAAACCTCTTTTCTCCTTCCCAACGTACCGTTTGGCTCTTTCCAGGTCATCATTGGCTTGCTCCAGCTCTCTGATGTATTTCTGAAGTTGATCTTTAATGGCTTTTGTCTGGGCAAGGTCATCCTCTAAGGCTGAGATCTGCCGGTAGCCTTCAGAATGCTGTGTTTCAAACTTCTCCTGAAGGACAGAATCAACACTGAGTGAATGATTTAAGACTCCCGATGAGGATGTTTATCTCCCTTCCCTGTCATCTCCTTAGGACACTGAAGGTTAATCCTGGGACATAACCCTCTCCGTCGCAGTGCATGTGTGTTGTCCCTTGCTGCTGAGCATCCATTCCTCCCCCTCTGCACAGCCCACCGGCATGCCAATTTCTTTATAATTCATTTATTTATATTATTTATTTATTTATTTTTGGCTTTTGGGTCTTCGTTGCTGCGTGTGGGCTTTCTCTAGTTGCGGTGAGCGGGGGCTACTCTTTGTTGCAGTGCGCGGGCTTCAGTAGTTGTGGCTCGCAGGCTCTACAGCGCAGGCTCAGTAGTTGTGGCTCACAGGCTTAGTTGCTCCACAGCATGTGGGATTCTTTCCGGACCAGGGCTCTAACCCATGTGCCCTGCACCGGCAGGTGGATTCTTAACCACTGCACCACCAGGTAAGTCCCACGTCAATTTCTTTAGGGGATTTCTCTCTCCCTTATTCTAGGATCTTTGTGGGACCAGCCTTCCCATCACACTCATGCCAGAGGAGAAGCCTAAGCTCAGTCAGGAGAACCTTCTGTCCACAGACATGGACTCTTAAGCAAATGAGGGATGATGGGGGGAACAGGGAGGGGGCCATCAAGCTGTCAAGTCCCGAGTGCTTCCTGAGCATCTTATACCCTGCCCTCTCCCACATTGGTCCCTGCAGCCTCTGGTATCAAGCAGCCCCCAACAATCTTCAAAGAAATCATTTTGTGCAAGGTGTCCACAGCCACAGAAAGCCTCATAAACCTCTCCGAGCCTGATCCACAAGGGCAATACCGATGAACTTCACATGATATCCCTGGATTACAGACAGAATAGCAGGAATCACAATGACTTTGTTGCCTGTGCCTCACAGTCAGATCAGGACATCATGGACTCAGTTTGACAACTGTTCTGACTTTGTGACCCAGGACACTCTCCCTGTGGCATGGGGGAGTTAGGAACTTCTGGGCCTCTGAGGAGGGAGGGAGAGAGAGAAGGGAGGGAGGGAAAGCGAGGCAGGAGGGAAGGGAAGAAGGAAGAAAACAAGACTGTTGTTTTTACCAAAAGAAGCTTAGTGTGATCTAGCTGGTGCTTTCCAAGGCAAGGCACAGCCCAGATGACGTCTCAACAACCTGCTGCTGCCCAGCTATGGCAGCTAACATTTACCGCAGGTCTACTCTGCGCCAGCCTCTGGGCTCAGGACGCTGTTTTTGTTGCCTCATTTAACGCCATTTCAGAGACATGGGAACTGAGGCTCAGTCACTTCGTCAGCCCAAAGTCAACTGGAAGCACGTGACCAAGCCAAGATCCATCCCGGCCACCTGGGCTTGTGCTCTTAGAACAACTACACTAAACTGCCCTCAACCACTTCCATCCAGATCACATGGGAACTGATCACATGTGCGTGCGCACGCACGTGCGTGCACACACACACACACACTCACTCACTCACTCACTCACTCTGGCTCTGGCTCTGGCTCCTCTCTCGAATTACTTTCCATCATCAAACACCCTTACCACCTTTCCTTCATCTACAAACATGAAAGAAAACACTTCCCACAGGAAAGGCCCAAGTCTAATTAGAAAGTTAGAAAAACAGGCCAACTCCTCTTCTTGGGTCAGTCGAGTAAACAAAGCTGTTGCTAGAAACAGTCTGGAGGCGCTGGGGAGAGTGATGTAATGGTGACTGGGGCCAGAGAGGCGTGGCCAGAGCCATGGTGAAAGAAGAAGGTCCACAGAACTGGCAGATTATTTACAAGGCGAGGACAGGGAGTGGTGTCACATCCTCACGCTGCTGGCTATGAGCACAGGAAGTGTCTTGGCTCAGACAAGCAGGGGCAGACCAGGCCCAGGCACGAGCGAATTCCCAGGCATGGCTCTGATGGCTTCCCACGCTTGATTTGGGTGCCTCCCCAAATAAAACAGGAGGGTACAGGATCCTAGGTCACTAACCTAAGTTCCAAACACAGGTTCCAAGAAGACGCAGTTACTGGGCTTGTCCACCAGCATAAGGATTCAAATGTTGTCCTTTGAACTTGGGGACATGAAAAGCTGTTGCGCTTTCATTTGGGGCTAATTATAATAAACTGTCAGCTGATGGAGGCATCAATAGATGCTCTGTTGGATCCCTTACAAGCGTTTTTATTCAACTTGCAATGAATAAGCCATCTGTCAAGGAGTCTGACTCAGTAGAAGACTTTCCTCTTAGGTGACAGAAATATGTGCTGGGGGCAGTTCTTCACTCCAAGGTAGTTCTGTTTCCTCGCCTGCTCCACACACTGTGTCTCATGAACCTGCCATGTGGTTGTAATGAAGAGGTCTTCTGCTGGTTCAATGGCTCAGTCTGGAAGTGGTTAATTACTTAGCAACTGCATGATATTTAGTCAGCACATCCTCCTACCCTCTCCAAACGATGGTTCATACCACTAGTCTTCCCATCCCTGAGCCCCCATCAGTGTAAGGACTGTAAAGATTCCCCAGTGCCTAGGGCAGGGGCCAGGCTGTTAACAAAATGAGTGACGTGGGCCATGTGTAAGCAGCAAAAGACACTCAGTCCCCGGTGTCAAGAGTTGGTGGGAAAGGACAGAAGTGGGGACTGGGGCAAACTGGAGAAGGCTTGCTCTGTCTAAGCAACCACAACTCAGCTTTTTGCCGGTGTGGAAGAAGGCCGGCCTGGGGTAACCAGATCCACCAAAGGAAGATCAAAGGAAGTCGGAAATCTAAGTTTTTACAAGAAGCCTCACAACTCTGAATGTTGATACTAATTTTTTTTTTTTTTAAAACCCACTAAAGATATAAATTTTACTATCAAAAGAACAAACTGTAAGCAAACCCTCACCTCTAGTTAACAGCCTACTGCAGTATTTACAGGGAAGTGTACAGATGTTGGTGATTCACTTTGAAATGCATTGGGAAGATAGATTGATGGATGGATAGATACATAATAAAGTATGTAAGTATGGCAAAGGTCATTGGTAGAGCCCAGGTGGTGGATACAGGTGTTCACTGGAAAACCCTACTGTGTGCTTGAAAACTTTCATGATATAATGTTGAGTGAAAACCACTAAAGGCTTAAGCAAACAACATCTATGGGCCAGACTGACCTGTGGGTGGCCAGCTTGGGCTCTGTGGTCTATGTCATAAAAGCTTAAGAGTCCACTGCTCAGTTTCTATGGTCTGTGTGGTCCTTCCTCTGCTACTCCTCACCCCTCGATCCCTAATCCATCTGTTGGCCCCGCTTTCTCCCACATGCTAGTAAAGCCAGATTCCCAAGGTCCACTTGACAGTCATTCTTGCCCATGTCTGTGGCAGCTCCATATTAACTCTTCATCAAACCCTTGTACACCAAGTTGCTGGCTAGACACACACACACACACACACACAAACACACACACCTTCAAACACCAGCTCAAGTCCCTCCCATCTCTTCCATGATGCTGTCTACAACCTGTGCAAATCTCTCTCAGGAGGATCTCATGGTGAGTACCACATAACTGAGCATCTTTTCACTAAGTGTTTCCAGCTGTTAGGTTTGTCTTCCCCACAAAGCTTCCAGAGGGCAAGGGACACATCTCCTTCCACTGTGCATCACACCAAGCCCTGGACTCACACTGCAGGGCCTTGGCTAGTTCTCCCAGTGGCTCATCAAAATATATGAGGAGCTTTGTTTTAAAAAGAAAGAAAAAAAAAAACAAGACATGCAGACATGCTGGGGCCCCACCCAGACTTCCTGAGAATGCGAATCTCAGGGCGGGGTGGGTCCAGGCCTGTCTAACGTTTATGAAGCTGGCCAGGTGACCCTGCCTGGCAGTAAGGGCTGAGAGCTGTCCCTAGGCCACAGAGTTACACTTTGTGATCATCTGCTAAGCTCTACAGAGTGTCCAAAAGGCATTCTTTACCCTGCAGAGAAGTGGTTCTTCAGATACTTGGCAATGTCTGCAGATATTTTTGGTTGTCACAACCTGGGGGAGGGGGTGTTACTGGTATCTAGTGGGTGGAGACCAGGATGCTGTTAAACAGCCCACAGTATGAAACTCAGCCCCCACATTTGGCTGCCTTCAAATGTCAACAGTGCCCAGGTTGAGGAATCTGCTCTGTCCAACAGGACTTTCAATAATGATGGAGACATTCTACAGCCTCTCTGTCCCACAATGACACCCACTAGAGACGTGTGGCTTTTGAGCACTTGAAATATTGGCTAGTATGATTAAAGAATTAAATTTCTAGTTATTTTATTTTAATTAACTTAAATGTCAGTAGCCGCACATGGCTAGGGGCGACCATTCTGGACAGCATAACCCTAGACCTTATAACAATCAGCAATTCCAGAGACACTCCATACTCTAGAAGGGTCTACCTTCCATGTGCCTTGCAGGATTGTCACCAACAGCCAAGAATGGCCGTGGGACATGTGTGAGACCTGCCTCTCACAGAGCGCCTCCATCAGGGGCATAAAGAGTTCAAGTGCCACACACGCCCGGCAGGCCTGGGGGTGGAAGTGAGCCCGGGGCCAAGTCTGCAGGCTCCCTTTTCCAGTCATGATGCTGGACACCATCCACACCTGCATGCGTCTCCTCTCACCACCTCACCTTGATGGTTTCCAGCTCCATGCGAAGGCGGTTGTTTTCTGACAGCAGGTCCCTGTTCCTGGTTTCAATTTGTTGCAGCTGCGTCTCCAATTCAGCTTCATATTCTCGGCTTCCCTCCTGGAATTCTCGGAGCTCCTCTTGCGTGTTCTCTGCCCTACAGAATTCCCAGATGTAAGCTGATCATTTACTGAGCGCTTACATGCTGCTGTTATACATGTATCAGCTCTTTATTCAACTGCCTTTTTAAGGCAGAAACTGTCATTGTCCTCATTATACAGATGAGAACATCAGGTGACTTGTCTCAAGGTCAAACAAGTCAGAAACAGAGCTTGGGCCTGCCCCCAGGTGTGCCTGACTCCATAGCCCTTTCTTAACCAATTCACTCTTCATGCATTCATTCCACTTGTACTTTTTGGAGCCCAACATGTAGTAAACACACTTTGGATTATGTATTCTCTGCAGCTTTATCTGCAAGTAGAAACTGGACATAATACAAATGCCCACTTACCACACCACTATCATGGGCCCCTGCCCCATATCCCAAACGCCCAATTCTACCTTCTCAATCCTTAAAAGTCAAGGGATATATATATATTTTTTAAACACCAAGCCTAAATTCTCTTTAAATCAAACTAAGAATAAAGAAGTTAGAAGAGCCAGAATAAGACCTCCCTGGGTAGGGCTTCCCTGGTGGCGCAGTGGTTGAGAGTCCGCCTGCCGATGCAGGGGACACGGG